CTGCGCCTGCGGCGCTGGCGCCGCCAGCAGCTGCTGCCGGCGGACAGCGGCGCCCTGCGCGGCGTGCCCGTGTCGCACTTCGTGGGCATCGACGGCGTGCGCGCCTTCCTCCAGTCCTACTCGCACGAGGTGTCGCTCACGGCCGACTCGCGCAAGAGCCAGCTGCGCTTCTCGGCCGGCAGCTGCTGCGACACCCTCCCGGCCCGACCACCAGATGAGGCTTCCGCTGATCTCGTCCCTTCAGGAGATCAAGATTCCGAAAACGGTGGGCAAGTTGCCTTTCAGGTACGTTAATTTTTTGACTGTATTTAGTGGACGCGATGTTTAGGATTCTTAGGGTAGCCTCAGTTGGTTCACAGTATTAGAAACCGTGTTTCAAGATAGTCACCCGCTCATGAATATCATCTCCCGAACGCATGCTGATTCTGCCTTGTGTATTTTACGCACCATGTTCTTTACTGCTTTCAAGAGCTCTTTTTACCTAGCTTTCCTCAAGGCTGGAAGGTTCTGTTGCATGTGTAACTTCAAGGAAATCTCATTCTCTTGGTCTTCTACTGGCCTTTCCTTGAAATTGTTTAAATACTTGCTAGTACCCAGTTGCTATAATTTCAATGTAATTACCTGTATGAGCTCTCAAATTCCAGTTGAATTCGGGGATCTTGTAGCTTGAAAGCCGACACTTTGAACTCCCAGATTTCTTCCATATCCGCTTTCAACAAACGTATTATTCAATCATTTTTAAGGTGTTTGAAGAGACTATTATTAATTGGTGAAGAATTACTCTGATCGAATTTTTTTCCCACAGCTGGGTTTTGTGACTTAACTTTGTATTCAATAGAAATTGTCAGTAACTGTGCAGGCATAGTCATCGAAATAAAATATATTTACTAGAATATTGATTTTAAAAATACGTAAATGCAAACTACCATTCATCACAATCTATTTATAATGTAGCTAATTTTGGAATGTGAGTTAATATTGAAAACATGAATTTGAACAGTGTTTCAGTGATGTAGGAAAAGGTGTGTCTAGGTTGTTACAGGCAATTCTCGTCATATAGGAGGCAGTGAATTGCCTGCAACACATTTCAACAGAATTTCCCTGCCCCCATGGAAACAACCACATCCATTTCTCAATTTATTCTGGAGATGCTCACCGTCTTGTTTGGCTTCTGAAACATTACACACTCAAATTCACGTCTTTGTAGTGACAGAATGTTAATTTGTTACCAGAAGTTGTGTATAGGTGCAGCTGGATGGAAAGGAATTATCCTTGACTGGATGAACTACCACAGTTAGCAGGAAAACGCATTTTCTAACGAGACATTACTGATCCGGGGGGGGGCGCTGGGGAGGGGAGTGGGTGTAGCTTGACATTGGCATCTCGGAGACCCAGGACTGGAGAATGTGCCAGGGCAACTCCATCGAGTAGATAGTGTGGAGTGTTTTCTAACTCTCCTTGTCTTCTGCATAAGGGGCTGTGATGATACATAACGTTCCTTCAGGATTTTTTGTTGTTATTTTTTGTTTGTGGGTTTGGCGATTTTTTTTCTTTAGTGTAAAAGAGACTAGGATCTAATTTACAGGTAAGATACAAGGTAAAAATTTCTTACATTTTGCAAGGAATCTGTCTGTTTACTCTTGGTTGCTCAAGCAAACATAGCTGCCGCCGATATTTCCCAGTAAATGTTCTTCAACGCCTGAGACCCGGTACAGCATCTGCCTGTTTAGGATATCAGGGAGTGGTTTGTGGGATACACACACGAGTAATTCGGGGTTGGGTTGCATGGGTTTTGATAAGATGATGCTGATCTTTGAATGTCAAAAGAGATGGTATTAGGTCTGATGTGACCGCTGTGGTGTTCTCAGAGCCTGGGATTCCCAGGCTTCCCATGGCTTCGCTTGTCCATCAACGGCCACTGTTCAAAGCTGAAAACCTTAGTGTTATCTGGGGATCTCAGCTACAATAAATAAACCCAAAGCAGTGTTTCAGTGTTCGATCCGCCTTGCTTTTTCCCCTCACGGAGGCGGCATGATGGCAGCGGAGACGCCAAGCGCTCCACCCAAGAGATCAGTAAGCTGACAGTGGCACAGAGACCAAGGTCCTGCCCCACATCTCTCAAGAAAAGGGAGAGGATCTGTCCAACAAAAGACTTGCAACTCAGACAACAGGAATTCCTACATGCACGGTTACAGGACTGATAGACTTTCTGTTTCTCGCTCCTGACAATATCTGTATTTTCCAATCCTTCCCGATGCAAGGGAATGCAGGACAGGACCTTCGCACTGTTCTTTTTCTTGCACGCTGCGGTTTTCAGGCACGGACTCAGGGTGTCACTGTTGGCCAAGGCGGAGAAGCTGCTCAGGCGTCGGCTCCTCCCCGGCGCCCGCGTATTGCTGCTCCGCACTGCGCAGAGCAGAGAGAAAAGCAGGAACCGCTCGACTCAGCCCGTCCTCCGATCTGCAACAGGGATTTCTTATATTTATTTCTCTCGAATACTGGTTCAGCTACTCGGAAAGGCTAATTTTTACCCGTCCACAGAATACCCTTCAGGAAGGAAGGGAATGGAGGTCAGATCGGCAGCGCAGGGCCGGGCAGGCGCTGGGCGGGTCGCGCTGCTGGCCGCGGTGCTGCTGTGCGTGTGGGGCCGGGCGGCGGCCGAGCGGCTCCGCTACGCCATCCCCGAGGAGCTGGGCAGAGGCTCGCTCGTGGGGCCGCTGGCGCGGGACCTGGGGCTCAGCGCGGACGAGCTGCCGGCGCGCAAGCTGCGGATAGTCACTGGTGACGAAAAGCAGTACTTCACTCTAGAGGAAGATAAAACAAATCTGCGTGTAAATGACAGGATAGACCGAGAGAGCATCTGCGGGGCCCTGTCGCCCTGTGTCCTTAGTTTGGAGGCGGTCGTGGAGAACCCTTTCGACATATTTCATGTGAGTGTTACTATCCAGGATATCAATGACAATGCGCCGCAGTTTGACAGAGAATTTGTTCCCATAGAAATTATCGAGTCGACGCCTCCTGGGACCAGGTTCCCACTGGGCAGTGGCAGAGACCCCGACATTGGAGTGAACTCCTTACAAAACTACGAACTTACCCCAAATCCACTCTTCTCCCTCTTAGTGAGGGAGAGCCCTGATGGGACAAAACACGCGGAACTGGTACTGGAGAAAGTCTTAGATCGAGAAAAACAGAGAAATCACCATTTGATACTGACGGCGGTGGATGGTGGAGATCCAATCCGATCTGGGACCGCACAGATTAAGATTAACGTGACTGACGCAAATGACAACCCACCAGTATTCACCAAAGAAATCTACACTGTTCGATTGATGGAAAACCTGACAGAGGGCTCCTTTGCTTTTCAGGTGAAAGCTACTGACAATGACGAAGGTACAAATGCAGAAATTACCTGCTCCTTCAGCAACATAGCAAAAAGTATCCTCCAGCTCTTTACTCTGGACTCTAAAACAGGGGACGTGAAGGTTACAGGACCCTTAGATTATGAAGAAAGGAAATACTACGAATTGAGTGTTGAAGGCAAGGATGGGGGTGGGTTGACAGCACACGCCAAAGTGCACATAGACATTATAGACGTAAACGACGATGCACCAGTCCTTTCCCTCCTGCCTATCTTGAACCCGATACCCGAAGATTCAGTCCCAAGCACAGTTGTAGCTGTGATCAATGTCCGTGACAGAGATTCAGGAGAAAACGGAGAAGTGAATTGTAAAATGGACATAAATTTGCCTTTCAGATTAGAAACTTCATCAGAGAACACATACAAACTTATAATAGCCAGTGCCCTGGACAGAGAAAAAGTCTCCGCTTACAATATCACCATCACTGCCACGGACCGGGGCAGGCCGGCGCTGTGGAGCAGCACGGAGCTGGTGCTGGAGGTGTCGGACGTGAACGACAACGCGCCGGTGTTCGAGGAGGCGGCGTACAGCGCGTATGTGGCGGAGAACAACGCGGCGGGCGCGCTGGTGCTGCGCGTGCAGGCGCGGGACGCGGACGCGGGCGCCAACGGGCGCGTGAGCTACTGGCTGGCGGGCGGCAGCGCGGGCGCGGCGGGCGCGGCGCCGCTCGTGTCGGTGGAGGCGCGGAGCGGCGCGCTGTACGCGCAGCGCTCCT